GAAGAGTGCTGAACTATTTTGGATTTGTCTGGCGGGAAAGAGGAAGAAAGGAAAACCTGGTAGAAGAAAGTATAATTGCTATTGTATGGTATTATCTCCATATCCCATAGCAACAAATCTTAGTATATTTTTTTCTTATTTAAACCATATTCATGAAGGTTTTATTGTTAACTTGATCCAGATGACTGATCAAAGCATAGTTCGTTATTGCCACCTTGCTAAAATATTTTTAAAGGCAGTTTTAATATTACACTTTTATAGCTACATATTGCCATTAAGCTATTGAGTCTATTACTAGTCAATCAAGGATTTTCGTTTTGTTTCAAGAGCTCCTTGGATAAACTCTTCAGAAATGTCAAGAGAGACGAAGTATATGGCACCTTTTCACAGATGGTGTTCATCAGGGATTTTAGTTAATGGATAAAGTTTCGGTTTTCCATGGTTGACTTCTGGTGCTCACAAAAGTATTCTAAGGGCCCTTGCTCTTCCAAAAGCTAGGGGATAGTAAGGAAATGAACCTCATAACACCCAAACACCCTCTATTCTTAATGAGGTGAGTAACTGGGGACATGGTGAGGTATTTCACTGGGTCCATTTTACTAAGGAATGGAGTATTTCTTGAAGAAGATCGGTTTGACTTTTTCCAACAGCTCCAAAACTATACATTTATCCTGCTCTCCCTACTCGCAAGAACAACAAGCAAGAGCAAGTACTCAACAGGAGGAGTTAAACTACCACCTGAAGAATTATGTATTCAACTGACTCATCACAGACGCCGGTTGTGTATTTTTCCCTTTCATCTGTTCCAAAGTAGCCTATACCTTTTCTACGCATTCCTTCATACAGTCATACATTTATTCAACACACATTTACTTACTACTTATATACCAGATTCTGTGCTATATGGTGAGTATAAAGGTAATTCAGATATAATGCTTCCCTCAAGAGAATTTCAACCTAGTGGTGCAGAAAGCCAAGAAATCACATGATTATTTACCATTCATTGAGGTAAGTGCTGTGATGGAATGGGGCTGGGGCTGGGGCTGGGTACAGGATTCTGGGGAAGGCAGTGGAAGAGCACTTAAATCCTTCTAAGGTGGGCTTAGGGAAGGCATTTCTGGAGGTAATGTTATTGAAGCTAAGACCAGAGGAACTAATGGGTATAGTTCAGGTAGAGGGGAAGACGATGAAGGACATGACAGGAACAGAGAGCAGCATGTCCCAGGGCCAGGGAGAGGGCGGGGGGGATGAGACATGAGACTCGGAGGGGGACAGCAGTTACCTCTCAGGAGCCTGCAAAGTGTGGAGGAGCAGGGGCTATTTTCCTGAGGGCAGTAGAGAGCCTCTGAGGAACTTGAAGCCAGGGACTTGCAGGGGTCTGATGTCACTCAGGCTGTGGATTGTGTTCAATGGGAGGCAAGAGTGCAGCAGGAGAGCTGTTGGGAGCCTATTGCCCTAGAGAAATAAGGTGGCGCCTGGAAGAAAGAGGAAGTAGAAAATGAAATCTGATTAGATTTGCCTCAGCAGTCATGACATAATATAGTAAAATGAATATAACACGGTTAGCCAAAGGTGAAAGTGTCAGGTCAGCAGTTTGGTAGACACTGAAAAGGAAATAAAAATGGGCTTCAGTGAATTGCTAAGTGAGTCCACGAGTTCCCCAGTGCAGCGCTGTGGAAAGCCATCCCTCTCCAACTCGATATTAGTTTTCCTGGGATTTCAGTTATGACTGCCCAGAGGATTTGCTGTTTAAGGCTTTGTGGTGGGCACCTTGTGTATCTGATGGCTACAGGGATATGAGCCATTACACGTGGAATCACCTGGTAAACATGTCTGGAGTGATTTGAACAAATGGTATCCTTGCTCCAATCCTTGTTCCAATTTTCTGCACTTTTTCTTCCATCAACCTTTAGGGAGTCTTATTCATGGCTTCCTGTCCTTCCAGACCATTCTTGGTGTGTTAGGAAACCAATATAATTGGGCAGAGATGGGGATAGGTATTGTAGACTTAAAAAAAAAAATTAGAAGAGATCAACTGACGATTAAGCGAGCAGGATTGGTCAAACGTTTTTATAGAAGGGAAAACTAGCAACCAGCCTGTAAGAAATCGGTCACAGTTTAGGGGATATGTTACAAGCAAGATAAATAAAACTGGTCTAGAGTATCAGGCCAAACTCTCATTTTTCATCTCCGTTTCACACTCTTCTCTTCCAGCCCAGACTAATCAAAAGAAGCCTCTTCCGCTCCCAATTGCTCTGTGTACATTTCCCCCAGATCTGGTATTCACATGAACAATGTGGTTTATTTATATTTCAGCACCAAATTGGAAAGATGACATCATTCATTTACAGTCTTTATCCCATGACATGCCTACTCTCCAACACCTCATTTCAGCAGACACATTTAGGACTGCATATAGCATCTTGTTTAGCTTGTACATTCTTTTATGGGATACAGTTCAAAGGTAGGGAACTTTAGGCTTGTCGCTGGTAAGAAAATAATCTCATAAAATCACAGGAGCTTCCCCAAAGGATAAGGACGTTATGATGTTTACAATAGCAGAGTTCTTATTTGTTCATTTAGGCTTCATCGTTCATTCTTGGGTGAGTCCCTTCCTTCTTGATGACAGCAGATCTTACAGCTCCCTTCAGGCTCTCAGAATTCTATTAGAAGAAACAATTCCAGATTTATTAGTTCACGAGTTCAAAAGTACAGGCTCCTGACAATACTGGAATTTTAGGTGTGAACACTGAATTTCAGAATCTCATATTCAAGGGCAGACTGAAGAAGGGGAGTCTCAGTACTTGGTCAGCAACAGCTCCACTGACCTGCTCTCTTTCACAAGGCATAACTTCTTCGTTGGGTCTTCTGACACTTTAAGTGGACAAGTGAAGGATGGAAATGCTATCAGCTGCCAAAGGTTGCCTGGGATGTTTTATTTCATTTTTAGGTGGATCTTTCCCTCTATTTTTATTATTTTCATCCATATACATGCATTTTTTTTACAGTCACTCTGGGGCCTCAAGTATTGTACACATTTTTTAAAATGGAGTGAGTCAATCATTGAGACATCCTCTGGCAGGTAGAATTGGGTTGTGAGGTGTTTCCAAAACTTAAGAGAACCGAAGCATTTATGGGAAAGCTATTTCTACCTGTTTAGCTGCTTGCCTTTTTTGCTAGTAACATGGCAAAGAGAAAAGCCTAGAGATTGGAGAATTGGAAGACCCAGAAAATCTCTATGTTCTATGTCAAGGAAGAGATTCTGGGGCCTGAAATCTATGCCTTGATTTTCTAGCTGCAAATGAGAATAGTAATAATTTTTCCCAGGAAAGTCTTCAGAATAAGTTTGACTATGTGAAAAATACTGTAAGGATACGCTATGTTAGGTCCAAAATTATTATCAGAGTATTATTTATGTTACATAATAAAATTCCAACTGACCAGAGGCTCTGCCAGCCCCTGACTTCCAGCTCTCTTAAAGTGCTGATGGCTTGTTGTCATCTCAAGCCACCAGTGGGATTGTTATGGCAACTCAAGATGTGTCCTCAACTCTCAATGACCTTCCCTGGCTGAAAACAAAAGTGCAGCTTGCCTCCACAATGGCAGCATCCCTCAAAATCATGGCCCCTTGTTTCCTTCAGTCACTTATTGCAGCAACGTGCTTAGTGTATCAACATCTGCTAGGCCCCATGCTAGATTCTGGGGAGAAGCAAATGAAAGAAACAGCCCCAAGTCTACTGACAGATGAACAGATAAATCCGTGGTCATGGAGCGAGGCTAAGCAAGCGTCACATGTCAGCCAGCCTCAAGGGTAGAGTCAGGAAAAGACTGTGAGTTAGCCAGACACAGAAGTTAGAGGGAAGGGAAGGCGGCTGGGGGAGGCCTTGCAGGCAAGGTAAACAGCATGTATTAAGAAGGAGAAGTTTCTTACAGTAAATAACAACAACAATAATAGTAATGACAGCATTTGACTTGTGAGCCCATTGTGTGTCAGGTCCTGAACCGACACTTGAAGTCTGTCATATCACTTGCTCCTCACAGCGATGGCACGGAGGGAGGGCATCATTGCTCCCTTGTTAGAGTTGAGGAAATTGAAGCTTAGAAATAGTTAACTCTCAGAAGACCACATAACCAGCAAAGAGGTGGAGTAGGACTTGAATCCAGACAGTCTTATCTCCTAACTCATACTTGTAGGCTCCACATTTCCTGGCTTTCTGGGCTGGATATTTTTATCTGCCTTTTTCTGTGGTCTTTAGGCATTTTTCTAGGTTCTGTGACCCTGTTAGGTCAATTCATCGCTGGTCTGTTTCTTGCTCTGTGTAATAAAACAATACAGTTCTATGGCCCAGAGGGTTTAACCACGACACCTAGTTGCCTCATGTGACAAACATAGCGGGATTTAAATTAGAGTAGTCAGTTCTTCTCCATTGTCTTTGCTCCTTTTGCTCAATTTCTTCAAAGAACAATATCAATTAAAATCTCCATAGACAGCTCTTTCGCCAGAAGTCATCATAGCAACAAACCATCTCCACTGGTATTTTTGCATTTGGCAGCTTTGAGTGGATTTCGTTGCCTTGTCTCGCGAGACCATTGTTTGTCTGTAGTTCTGTGTCTCCACTCAGCGCTTTGCCATCTTTTCATTCAGGGCTTCCTTCTCTCGCTTGCTCCAGAGTGTAGGATGTGATTGTTGGCAGTTTGTGATTACAAGCTTAAGCACCTTAGGATGTGTTCATTTCTTCCCTTTTAAATCACATGGGGGCAGTACACTAAGAGCTACCAGTGTAGATCTGAGAGCACAATAGCTTCAAGGATGTGGCAGATCCTCTTTCACCAAAGCTAATGGCATGGTGCATTCATTATTAAGTTTCAGTTTGACCAAACATGAAAACTTCTGAATTAGGAATGAAGGGAGCCCTATAGGTGTTGTAATTATTCCCTGAGTCTCTTTGGCTCGTCCTCTAGCTCCTGATGGAATCTTCTTTGGTTTTTGTTCTGCACAGACCCAGAACAGAATGAAGCTGATGGCAGACAACTACGATGAGGACCACCACCATTACCACCACCACCACCATCATCACCACCACCGATCTCCTGGGAGGTCGCAACATTCCAATCACAGGCCTTCTCCCGACCAGGTCAGTTTCATTGCCGCTTACCTCCAGGACCCCTTTTACCCTTTGGATATTTTAAGATAAAATAAATAATCCTCAAGAAATAATAAACAGCATAAAGTGATACGTTCTTTGAACTGAAACTAATAGCTTTGGTATTTATTTCCATCACTCAAGGAATCTAAATGTTTTCCTTTCTCTTTCCTCTTTAAGGTTTTGTCTGTTCTTGTTTATGTTATGCATTTTCTTTCCTCCCCTCCTTTCTTCTTTCATAGATATGTAGTCTATCGCTGGCTCAGTATCTAATGGTGGGTTACTTTGGAATGTCTCTCTCAAGTTAAGAGAAAGCACTTTGTTTCCATGAGCTTGGCAACCAGAGAAGCTTTGAGTTTGCTGAGCACTTTCCTAGAAAATTCCTTAGTGATGCAAATTAATAGTCAGGCAAAACAACATGAGGAGAAATCAGTTTTGCTTACATTTTAGTCAGTGAAGTCAAGGAGTCTGGTTTATTTGATTTGGACCCTATCTTCTCCCTTGACTAAGGAGAGCAAGTGAAAAGGTGGATCGGCAAAAACACAAACCTCCTGTGATTTCCAGTGATATTTGCATTCACCCACCAAATGCGAAAACTATTTATAGTGTTTAGTATTAAAACTCTTGAAGGTGAATTTCTTGGAAATTGTGAAACTAAATGCAAACCAGCAGGATAATATAGTCAATATTAGCAGGATTTCCTCCTTTATTGTATTATGACTTTTTTGTGTAAGATCCTAATGTAACTTATACAATAAATTTCAAGAGGGATGGGGCCATAGGTAATGGGATATAATCATCTGGATAAGTGTGAATGCCTTTGTTATATATTTCTTGATATGTAAGGGGAGGGCTTATTGGAATTACCTATGTGAAGAGGGGTTTAATTGTTTGCTGGAGGAAGGGGTTCTTATTATGCTCCTAAAACTTTTTTTCAAATGGCTCTGTTTCCTTTTCACCTCATGTGACTAGCATCCCAAGGAAGTTAAGATTCCGAGTCCCCAAGATGTTTTACCAGAAGTACAACTCCAGGGGGAGCCATTTATATAGTACATAATGTAAGAAGTGCTCCCTGGGGCTGTGCAGTGAGGTAGCTCCAAACAGGAGGGCCCCTGACACTTGACCCCAGCTTGGCTCTACCCTTGTACCCAGAAACATTTGCCCTCAGAGACCTCAACACTGTAGAAGGTGTTCACACAGAAATCTTGATTTCTGAAGCCAAGTGCAGAAGGGCACCAGTTCATGTTATTAGCTCTTAAAAATGGTTCTCAATTTGGAAATCAGCAAAGTGGAGAGACAGATTAATTTTATGTCATTATCTTGGATGTCTGTGGTACTGGTTTGATTTGGTTTTATTTATTCAATTCTCATCCCTCACTACCATCACCACCTCCCTGCACTCCTCTGCCCTATTGTACCTGGCATCCTGCTAACTAAATCTCCTCATTCTCATTCATAGTCCCTGATCTTTGATACACTGCCCTTTGCTCCTTGACCTTCTCTTGTGAGGGGTGTTTGGTTTTTTTGGTGCTGGAAGGCCACCCTGGCTTTTCCCCAGAGAGACAGGAACAGAGAGTGGTATGGGGTAGAAGGAAGAATTTGGAGCTAAATTGGGAGAGTGGGTCACACAAGGACTTGCTGAGATAGCAAACTGGCTTGTTTCATCACAGAGACACATATGCTAATATGTCCTGCTAGAAACTGGGCACAAGATCAAACTTACCTGCCTTGTGAATGATCTTTCTCACAAATAAGTCTCCTGCTACTTTGCAGAGATCTTTAATCACAAACTAGAGTACTTGCCTATTTGGCTGACCCTCCAGTGTTTGTCCACTGACACTAGAGGTTGTCATAGGGCAGAAATCATTGCTCAGGGGGCGTCGCCTTCCAGTTCCTTGAGGAGTGTCTGGCTAAGACGCCGTAAAGCCTTCTGATAGACCTTTCTCATTGCTACTGTTGAGAGTATGGTGATGGCCTTCCAATTTTACATCCTTCATCTCAGTGACCACTCCAGGCAACTCATGGACATAGAGGCAGATAGCCTCATTCCCTTCTACAGATGAGAAGTCCAGGCCCTTAGAGGAAGAGGGTGAACTGACTAGAGTCCTGCTGCTGGTGATTTGCTCACACAGCTAGTACTAATTGGAGCACATATTCCATGCCAGCCACTATGCTGGGCTTGGGAAGAGCATGATGGACAAGACAGAACACCTACCTACAAGGAGTTTGCTTTCTAGTCCTAGGACAAAAATCTAGGTCATCTGATGTCTTGTTCAGTTCTTTTCTAGATCATGTCAATCAAAACAAGACAAATAAAAGATAGTTATAACTTAATTAGGGGCCCATATGGACTTAGGATCTTACTCTGCAGTGTGGTTCATTGTGAAAGAGAAATACCCTAAACCAGAGGGATAATTTTGTGGTTTTAAACTGGAATCAGCAAGGCTATAAGGCTCTCTTGCTGCATTCTTTTGATTAGAGAAGGAGAGTTAAGCAAGGAGCTCTGGTATGAGTAGGTTGACTCTAGTGATGGAGATGGCTAGATCCCCTGGGCTGGTTGGCCTTTTTGACAAGGTCTTCCAGGTGTAGGACAATGATGCCCTCCCCTGTACTGGAGATTTGAAATTCATAATCACCAACAACTTTTATATCAATATATGCATTGTAATAAATCTAAGTCCAAAATGTAACAGTCATCGAAAGTATGGGAAATCTTTCCCAATTGATTACAAACTCTACAAATAATTATTTAAGCATACATACTAATGTGTGTGGAGTGAAACTACTTCGTAGGAGAAAGTGACAGCCTTGTATCAGTATGTGATAACATTAGAGTCCGAATAATGGATTGATTTGGATGAGATTCAAAGTACGTGTCTATAATGTACCCATGTTAACTGGACTGACTTCATGGGGAAAGGTCTTTTCCAAGGGATTCCTGATTCCCTTCCCATGAACCTTCCAAGCCTAACTTTCCTGTAGCCCTGAGGGTTGACCAACAATGTCTTTTGCAAGAGGAGCTACAAAATGTCGATGTTGCCTCTTGAGCTTTATTAAGAGATCAGAACACGGGAAAACAAAGAAATATTTTAAAAAATCAGTCACTTTTCTACTTTTCCAGAGAAACTCATTTTTCCTTAGGAAATTCAGTTAAAGTATTGCCAGGTACTTGCAGAATTAGATTCTTTTTCCGTTTCTTCCCTGTCCCTCTCTCCTTCTCTATGATTTCTGTTTTCTCCTCAGAAGAAACTGAATCCAAGAGTTATAAGTCTAGACTAACATTTCCTAAAGTAACTTTTAGAACATTAGTCCCCTGAGGAAAGTCTTGAAACAGAGATTCAGTGGGCAAAGAATTTTGGGAAAGTGCTGCATATTATAACTCAATCTTGGAGAGTCTTGGTGCAATTAGCAGATCAAAGGATCTAAAAAGTCATATAAGAAAGAAAGCTCTCCAATTTTATTTAATCCAGCATTTCCCAGACTTATTTGATCATAGAATCTTTTTTTCTTTTCTAGTAACATCTGTGCTCTGAGAAATACTGTTCTCAGAGTATCAGGTGAAGAAAGGGGCTACCCAGTTTAAAACATAGCTGATCCCGTTGCTAGCAGTGTTTTTCATCAGAATGTAGAGTTCTGAGGCAAGTTCCTGCATGCTTTGCGTAGCAGAAAATGGGAGTGCCTCTTTCATTCATTTCTTGGGATAACTTTTTAAAGCCTATAGCATCTGAGAATGGTTATCCCACCAAAACCCAATAGATCTGAACTAAGGGAGCCATTATAAGGATGAGGATCCAAAAGCAAGGATAATCGTAAATACGCAACCCCTCATGGGTTGAAAATGAATGTGATGAAGGGAAGAGAGGATTTGGAGAACACGTAAGAGAAGTCAGTGGGGCCTGGCAGTCCAACAGCCTAGACCCCTACTGGAGAAAGGGGCAGTTAATAGTTGGTGGCCTGTGACCTTCAGGATGGACATAGCCGTTGAATATATCCAAGTAGAACATACAGACAAATCCCAGAAATACCTTAGGAAATCTTTCAATCCAAGATGTGGGCACAAGAGTAGACAACAAATAATTCCTATGACACAGGCTGCTGGTGAGCTTTGTGAAACAATGAAGACCAAAGAATAAATGGAACATGCTGGAGACTCATTAGTGATTTTATTTGTAGTGAAGTCACCAAAACTGATTTTAGAAAAGCTAAGTGGTAATTCAACTTCTCCTAAATGCCCTCTCTACCTGTTGTCATCAGTATCGTTTATTTTCTTTAAGTAGCATCAAGGATGTCAAGTCTTTTAACTTATATTTCCAGACATCACATGATTTTTATTGTCCCAGGAAAAGTCAGATTTTCCTGAGACAAGTCCTTCCAATTGCTCCCAGGTATGAATTAACCCCGTGGATTAAAAAAAAAAAAAAAAAAAGCACAGTATCAGAGTGAGGTCTACACTCCAGCCAACTCAAAATGCCAGGCCTTGTTCAGGCTGCCCACGGGCATTCAGGACTCACATTTTTGTGTCTGGGTCTTGGGTCTTTAAGGACCTGGATCTCACTGCTTTTTTGTGCAAAATGCACTTCCGTTTGTTAAAGCATCTGCCACTCTGATTCTAATTTGTAAGGACCTAAATGGCAAAAGCCTAAACATTTTTGGACCAGAAACTCCAGAATATGTGGCCACTTTCTAGAACTTACCTCTCCTCTCTCTCCCTCCTTCTTTGAATGGAAATGCTCACTCACAAGAGTTGGAAAGCTCAAGGAATTTTGACTGCCTTGAAGCCTTTCAGATCCCATTTAAATTTTAAATTTCACATTTTACTTATAGAAATCCTGCTTCTAAAGGAGGGCTACAGAGTCCAGGAGCATGAAGGCATAATACTTATTAAATTGACTATGGAAAAATTTGGTTGAATTTTATGTTATATTCATAGTCTGTGCTGCATATTGCAAAGCACATTCACACCTGTCTGACCCACAGTATGCACTGGATAA